CCCCAAAACCCCAAAACCCCAAAACCCCAAAACCCCAAAACCCCTTGCGATACCCACAAATAGAATATCTAGCCTGGTTACTTTGAAAATGGAGCTGAATACAATATTTATTCAATATCGATAATTTCCATAACATTAGACTCATCAGGGCTTTCTTCTTGAGTTCCATGAATGGTGATCGCTTTATGACCAGTCTCGCAAAGACCGAGATCTTTTGCAGCTTTGATAACAACTTGTAGAAGCATATCTGTTCCTTGGAATGAAGGAACTTTGAAACCTTTAGCTCCTCTTGAAAGATTCATCTGTCTGACAATATGAGCAGAAACACTGCATGCGAGAATTACTTGTCTTGGTCTATACTTGGCTACATACCTAGCAATTCTTCCAGTATCTGTCAACACAATGATGATATCAATGTGCAAAGATAATGCTGCAGAGGCACAAGCAGCAGCAATTGATTCAGCTGTGTGCTTTGGTGCAGGAGCATGAGATCTAATATCATTGTAAAGTTTTTCGTAATCAAACATGAGCTCTGCTTCACATGCAATTTTAGCCATAATGGTTACTGATTCTAGGGGATATGATCCTCCAGCTGTTTCACCAGAAAGCATGACACAATCAGATCCATCCAATACAGCATTTGCTACATCACTAGCTTCTGCTCTTGTAGGTCTTGGGTTTTTAATCATTGATTCAAGCATTTGTGTAGCCGTGATAACTGGCTTTCCTGCAAGATTTGCCTTATCAATCATCCACTTTTGAGCAAGGAATACTTTCTCTGGAGGGATTTCCATACCAAGGTCTCCTCTTGCAACCATGATCCCATCTGATTCTTCCAAGATTTCATCATAGTTGTTGAGTCCTTCTTGGTTTTCGATTTTTGAAATAATTTTGATATGAGATCCTCTTGGTCCAAGGACATCTTTGATATTCTCGACATCAGCTGCACTTCTAATGAAGGAGGCAGCGATGATATCGACACCTTTCTTGATTCCGAAATCAATGAGATCATCTTCATCTTTCTCGGTCAATGTTGGGAGATCGACTACGCATCCTGGAAGATTCATATTTTTCCTCTCTCCAATAGTAGCGTTGTTCACAACTGTTGCTCTCACACAATCATCTAGACATTCTTCAACAGTACAGACAAGACTACCATCAGCGATCAGAATTTGGTCACCTGGCTTGACAGTCTTAGGTAAACTCTTATAGCTACAAGCGATTCTTTTGCTATTTCCCTCAATTGAATAATCAGTGCTGATTTCGAGTTCTTGCCCAGCTTCGAATGAGACTTTTTCATGATTCTCTAGAAATCCGGTTCTAATCTCAGGACCTTTGGTATCCAAAAGAACAGCTCATTGCTTGCCAGGGATACTCTTGACTGCTTCTCTCAATGTCTCAAGCATGACACCATGACTCTCATGATCTCCATGGGAGAAATTAAGTCTTGCGATATCCATACCTGCGTTGAGCATATCCACTAGCATTTCCTTAGTAGAGCAGCTTGGGCCCAGGGTACAGATAATCTTAGTTTTTCTTTGTGAAACATCAGTGGGGTTCAGGACCTGTTCAAGTTGGATCCTTGACCCTTCACTCTTATTTTTCAAAGTCTCCATGCTGGATATAAATATTATTTTCCTTCTATTCCTATTCTCTTAACGGGGTTTTGGGGTTTTGGGGTTTTGGGGTTTTGGGGTTTTGGGGTTTTGGGG